AAGAATGCGGAGGGAAAACGAGATGGCTCGAAATTGGTACAAACCGAATAATTCCAAGCGAAGCCTCATCTGAATCGTCTCCATCGAGACGAGCAACGATGCTTGCATTATCGGAGAAGTTAGATTCTGCGGAGCGAAGTAAGCATACCCCGATATACGTTTACCTGTCGCACCTATATACACTTCTTATCCTCTTGGAAGAATCGCTAAACCCTTACTTAACGACGAGCGACTCGGCGGACTTTTAAATTTCATACACTTTTTCTTTTCCGTACGCTTTCTTTTCTCTTGAGAAAAGCCCGTTTGGTGTTCCTTATCCGCTCTTTTTCTCTCGCAACTAATCCATACTGGATTAGCTGCGACCCCTAAGAGCAATGAGTTTAATGTCTGGCGTCGTTTCTGCGGTCATTAACGAGGATTACATTAATTCGTGTAGCTACTTATTATGATAAATAAAGTTAAGATGAGTAACGTGGCGTTTATGGAAAAAAACCTAAAAAGAATCTAAGTAATTTTTCAGCATGGATATAGAATGTTTGTTCTACATTAATAAAATAATTTTATTTCTTAAACATTTTTTATATTTATTAAAAGTTTGTGGAAGATAATTAACGTTTTTATATTTTTCACCACAAGTTTTATGAAAGTCTGCAAATTAAAAAATTGACAAGGATAACAGTCAATATTGATACGAAAAGTAGATAAAAAGATATTATGAGTTAGACACTTTCAAATTAGTTTCAAACTATGAAAGTAAAAGTCATAGAGGAATGTTTTGCTCTATTTGGAATCTTGCAAGATGCAGGACATATATAATACATCGACACTTCAGTCAACTAAGCTTCTTACGAAATGTACGTTGCACAGGATTGATGAATTACTTTATAGTAATCGTGCAGATGAGTTTACTTCCAATCTCCAGAAACTTTACTTCCAATCTCTAGATGAGACTATTCTATTTATGTTTCCTCTTGAAGCTATAGCTGGAACTTCAAAAAGGTATCGTTTCGCCCATCATTTTTAATTATTTTTATTGAATTGACGATTGTTCGGTTGAAATTAATGTATCAAATCGTGATAGCTCTTCTCCGTCACAGAGATGAGGACATCTTCCCTCGATGAAGACGGACGTGACGACGCGTTGTCGTTCAAAAAGACGGGTAGATAGCAGCCCGTCAGAATTAATTAATTCCGCCGACACATCTCCGTTTCTTTCAGCACCGTCACCTCTTTCCAGTTCCAACCGCCGTATCCACGACAAGTTCTCTAGGCTATCCTCCCCGACATCAGCTGAGCTTTTCCCTCGTGAAAATCGCGACGAACCGCGAAAAAGCGTGTCCGTCCGAGCGAGGCGATCGCGATAATTCTGTCGGGGTGCTCGACGACACGAGAGAGGACTCCCGCGAGGTGATTTTAAAAAGAGGAACACAGGCGGTCGTAGATAAAGAAAACTAGGGATGGGAAATAAAAGAACGGAGATAGGTGGAAAGGGCTGACTAGGAAGGTCGGGCAGAAACGGAGAAGAGAGCGGAATGAAATTTGCATCGCAAAATCCTACCGTTTACCCCGTTCTGCCGTACTCCCGTGTTTCCCCACCGTCGTTTCCCTCTTTCACTCAGCGAAGGAGAAGCGTGGAGCTATTCGTATATATACAGGGTAATGACGGTGTTCGGTATTCTGTGAAGAAAAGGAAGAACGTCCATTGGACAAGCGGGACTCGCGTCTGCATCGTGGATCCTGTTTTGTGTCTCGTAGGCTTGTTTGTTTTGCACGGACTATCGAATGCACACAAAAGACCCAGAGCTCTCTCCTCTACTTCGCAACCCTCGCTCAATATCTCTCTCTCTCTCTCTCTCTCTCTCTCTCTCTCTCTCTCTCTCTCTCCCCCTCTCTCTCTCCTCCCTCCCTCCTCTTCTCCTCCCCCCTTCTCTCTCTCTCTCTCGTTCATTCTTTCAGCTACTGTGGCTCGACCGTTACAAGAAAAGGGACCAAGGTAGTGACCTATGAAGCAGGAATTTTTAGGGCTTTAACTGCTGTACGTGAAACGTTTATACGCCCGTGTAGTGGAAACAAGTAAACAAGCTACTGTTTCAACTGAGTAATTACCTTTGATACTTACTCGTTAACCGATTTCACGCACTTTTTAACAAATTGCGATCTTCTTACGCACCGAAATATATTGCCAAAATATACACATTAATGCTTCGTTTAACTGCCGTAATTTTATAAGAAAATTTTGTAGACATAAATAATCTAATAAATTCAGTATTCATAATGATTTATAAAATATAATTTTTGCATTGCGATTCGGTGTACTGATTTCAAGAAATTGAAACTCGGAGTATAAGTATTTAAAGAGAGATATTCTATCTCCAATTTAGTCCGCATATTAAGAAGATATTTAAAATGTAAATTATTATCATGGTATTATACAAGTCATGTCGTATGCATTACCAGCTATAATCCGAGACGAAACTTTAGTATCAGATATAATTTTCCTCCGTGAATGAATCTCAACTTCATCATAACATTCATGTAATACGTCGAAAATGTGTTATTTATGTCGTAAAGACGTGATTGACCATAATGCGCCCCGTACATGGTCGTCCATCTTTCTAATTCTCTTTATTTCTCCCCTTAGACGAATTTTATAAAATCATGCAACCATAATAGCTCCATGTGAAAGGGCAGAGTAGACGTTACTGCGATGCTGTGGCTGCAGGGCGAACGTAATGCGATCTCTCCTGGACATTGCTCGTTAGCGATCGATAATTATAAATAATTAGTGAAGCGAGGCATGCCTCTTCGATGGGTGGGTGCTCGACAAGGGCTCAGTGACCGTGGATATGTATACCTCTTGAAAAAAGCATTGTACGCGAGAAGCATTAATGACCCCAGTGTCGAGAGGCTGCTCGTTTTTCAACATTGAGTCATCTCCGGTATAAAGTTTCTATTATCTTGCTTACTCGTGTAACTTCAGTCAGTGCTTTACCCGTTTCACATAATACATGTACTCGTTGAGTTTTGCTTGGTTTTGCTGAAAGGTACAATGTACCCGATAGATTTCTCGAGCTCCATCGAGTATTCAAAGCGACCTATCTGAAGTTCCATTATAGGTTTTGGTGCATGTATTGCCGTATCTTACAACTTCAATACCGAGCGTAACACTTGTTTCTGACGGCTTTAGGGCTTCGTTCGTATTCTGCGCCTATATCTTAAACGTGGTAGAGCATACAGAGTCGTTATGCAGTCGGAACATATATATTATTTACAATTTGATTTTATAACATATTTTTCTAAAGCAAGAAATTACTTAATAGCAGCATGATATAATTAAGTTATGATTTGTTATACAATAACATAGTTCTACAATTACATAATATAATTATAACATATTTAAAAAACCATTTCTTTATTATATCTCTCAAGAAATTCGACATTCGAGTATTGTGCTATTATAACTTCGAAGAAATGACGATGATGATCTTGATTCAGAAACGCGAATGTTTTTGTTACATGCGATTGTGTGAATGCACTCAAACGCATCGAGTGCCAAGGTGATTATTTCCTGATTTGGAGTTTCACATTGGATTACCGTCTAAAATTAATAATACTAACGCTAGGGGGAAAAATAATTTCACCTCCGGCGAGGTGTGAATAATACATGAGGCGTGACGCGAAATCCGTGCGGTGTTGCAGTTGCAATTGCAGCATATGGAACACGCGTACTTATACTGTATCTCTGTGCGGTACATATGAGCACGATACAATTGCAGCAATAGCAATAGCAACAGCAGCAGCAATAGTAGTAGACGCTCTCGACCTCTTCGCTGAAAACGATCGCGTTTACTAATAGCACTCGCGCAATTAAAATTTCATGGCCCAGGGCATAGTAATGTTTCCACTATTCGTCGACGATCCATATAGCTGGTGCATATTCTATGTATGAGGATGACATGGGTTAATCGTTGATATCACAGTACGTGATTAATCTTGAATATAACGACCGTTTTTTAACTAAGTGCCAGTTGGACGATTGTAAGCGATTTTATTTCACAAGCGCAATATTTAGGGGGTCGATTTGTCGTGCAAAATAGACCTCTTATCGTGCAGATTGTGCGCGACGTAAAATGAAGACGGACGAGAGGGCGGGTGGAGAGTGCTATTTGCAAAAATGATAACAAATGTCTACGCTTCCGTAGCAGCGCGATAAGAGTCCCGCTTTACACGATAAATGAAAGTTCCAGCGATGATATTTACATAAATATGGTTGTTATATTGTCCCAATGGCAGCTTACATCGGAAAAACGATTTAAATTTGTTGATAGGAATACAAAGTGCATAGTGTTATATTTTACATTTATTAATTAAATATTAATTCGTAATCTTTTACTCAAATCTAACATGAAAAATATGTACCTTATTTTATAATTGTTACATATATTTTAATCAAATTTCCTTTTAATTAAAGGAATGTACGTTTAATTATTAAATCGAG